CCAGATATGTAATAATTTCAATGTTGGGTCTTGTAATTACAGTGGATGTAGACTATTGCATGTCTGTTCAAAATGTTTTAGGGCACATGCTAAGACCATGTGTCCAAATAAAATGTATTCTAAGCCTTACCTTACGTCCATTAATATGCCAGTATTCACAGCATTGATGTCTCAGCACCCATCTAGACACCTGGTAGATTTTCTTATTTCTGGTTTGACAGAAGGCTTCCACACAGGTATCCTACACATACCAGCTGGCACTCTGGAATGCCCAAACCTACAATCCGCCCAACACAACCCCACAGTGGTTGACACCCTCATAAACCAAGAAGTGGAGGAGGGCTTTGTATTGGGGCCTTTTAGAACTCCCCATTCACAGAATGGCGCACCAACCCTATTGGTATTGTCACAGGGAAATCTTCCCAAAAACAGAGACTCATCATTGACTTATCGGCTCCCCACTCATCGGCCAACCCCAGTCTTAATTCCCTCATACCCTCTGAGGAATTCTCTCTGCAATACACCACCATAGATCACGCCATTACAGCCATCATACAAGCAGGGGTGGGAGCCTGGCTCAGTAAGACCGACATTACTAACGCCTTCAAATTACTCCCTATCCACCCCACACTGTGGCACCTGCATGGCATCAAGTGGTCCGAGAACTACTATTTTTTCTCCCGGTTAACTTTTGGGTCCAAAAGTAGCCCAGCTATTTTCGACACATTTGCCGAAGCACTATGCTGGTTACTATTGAACATAGCCGGATGCCCTACAGTATTACATTATTTGGACGATTTCCTACTGGTCGAGGAGAATACTGCACCTCCCACTAGCCTCAAAGCTACCACTAAGCTGTTTGAGCAACTAGGTGTACCCATCTCCCCAAAGAAAACAGAAGGGCCAGACACGGTTATCACTTTTTGGGTATCCAGTTAGACTCTGCCACAATGCAAGCAAGCCTACCTTACGAAAAGATAGACAATATTCTCACTTACATTAACAACTACCTACAGCTCGGCACTTGCAACCGCAAAGAACTACAGTCCCTGCTGGGGTCACTAAATTTTGCAATGCGCATCATACCTCAAGGCCGCTCCTTTATTTCACGACTATTGCATCTTTTCCCACTTTTTCTACATGACACGCACAGGTTGTCCTTAGATGCCCAAGCTACGGCAGATCTAAACATGTGGAAGAGGTTTTTAACCACTTGGAATGGTAAAAGTATGTTCCTCCCTCAATTGACTGAATCATCTCCTACCATTTGGTCAGATGCGGCATCTACCACTGGTTTTGCAGCAATTTTTGGGAACGAATGGCTTTGGGGCAGCTGGCCTTCAGCAGTTCTGGATTTGGAAGGTTTTTCCACTACCTCAGCTCTTTTTGAGATCTACCCCATAGTGGCGGCTGCCGTAGCGTGGGGTCATTTATGGGCTAATACACCAGTACGTTGTTACTCAGACAACCAGGCGACCTGTCACATCATCAACAAAGGTCGTTCCAAATCTCTTACGATTATGAGATTTCTGAGGAAACTCACTTGGTTGGCAGCTTGTCATAATTTCTTCCTATGTTGTTTTCATGTGCCAGGTGTATACAACACAGCTGCTGACAGTTTGTCTCGCTTTAAATTTCAGGAGTTTCATCAAGCACTCCCGTCAGCAGCACCCACAGCCACCATCACTCCAACATTTCAACAACTCATACTGGACTAGACGTCATCATGCAGCATAGCAGGACATTGTCTCAGTTGGCACTTTCACACAATACAAACAAAACATACAACAGGGCTTTCACACTATTCAAACGATTCCTTCTGGAACATAACATCATACAACCGTTTGTTATGACATCTTTTTTGGGGTTTGCTTCCTTTTGCCACCTTAAACTCAAATTGTCATATAACACCATCAAACTCTATCTCACTGGCATTCAACACCACATGCTCATCTTACACCCAAATAACAACAGTTTCATGGCCTCTCACCAAATTAAGACCATACTCAGAGGTATTCAAAAATCAGAACCCACACATTTGGCCCAGAGGCTACCCATAGATAACCATATCTTCAAAGCTTTATCTAACCTACTCGACCTGAAACCATTTGACACTAATACGAATTCTATCATCAAAACAGCAATATACATCGCTTTCTATGGATTTCTACGACCCAGAGAATTCACTACGACCTCCACGACCCAAACCACTCCATTCCTCCTCTATTCCCACTTGACAAAACATATGGATCATTACATCCTGTCTTTACCTCACTCCAAAACCAGCCAGCACATACCTGTAAACATTCCGTACTACCCCACGCACAACAGATGGTGTCCCGTAAAAGTTCTTGATGCCTACATACAGCACCATCACTTACTGCCCTCGCAACCGTTATTACAACTACAAGGTGCAGTACTCACCACTACAACCTTCATGACCTACGTCAGGTCCTTGCTCACACAACTGGGCCTCAACGCAAACAATTACTCAGGACACTCCTTTCGTATAGGAGCCGCGTCCACAGCCTCCAGTTTCAACGTCCCAACTCATGTTATCAAAACACTGGGGCGCTGGAAGTCATCCGCTTACTCACGGTACATACCGAACCCAGTACAAGAGTTAAGAGATGCTTTCATAAACATGTCTGGTTGATAAATGTATATGTATTGGTTGTCTGTTAATAAATTGGATTACTTAATTTTTGCCCTCTTCTTTCTCAGGCCTACCTCATCGTCGGTTTCGGCACACCACAACCGACTTGCTCCTTTTATCATCCTACGCTTATTCATGGTATTTCACACTGTACTATCTTAAGCACCTAACACAAGTATTAAGGCAATTTGCCTGCATTTGTGGGAGGTGCTGGTTTTCTACCCCTAGCCTACTTAAGGCACTCCCCTTGCCTGGCTCCTTACCGTTCGAGGTCAGCGTTGAATGACCCTCCCACCACACCACTTTTAACATTTATTTTCCTTTCTATTTCTTTTCCTGGGTGGGCCCTCTTCTTTCTCAGGCCTACCTCATCGTCGGTTTCGGCACACCACAACCGACTTGCTCCTTTTATCATCCTACGCTTATTCATGGTATTTCACACTGTACTATCTTAAGCACCTAACACAAATATAATTATATATATATATATATATATATATATATATATATATATCCATATATTAATATTAAAATATACTTAAAATTATAGTGTATGTGCATATATAAGTAGTTAGATCATATAAATATTTATATATATATATATATATATATATATATATATATATGTATACATATATATATGATCTAAGTACATTTTTTATATAAAAGTACTGTAATGGAGCTCCCTGTACCCCTGGCTGGGTACGTTTGCCAAGGACCGCTTCCTAGCTGGAACAGGGGACAAACCGCAGCACTTCTGCCCACAGTCGCCATGGTTTGACTGGGGTTCTGGAAATGCTCCCTCCTGGAGCTGAATGGGGATCTCGCTCTATCCACCCCCAGGCACTGGACAACAATCAGTCACGGGAGCTCTAGTCCTTACAAGGACTTTTCCCATTGAATCCTCCACACTGGAACAGTAATTAGTGAGTAAGCCGTTCCCCTCCCAGTAACCAGATGACACATAGTTCTGGGAGTACAAGCGGGAATGTTTTTTAATGTGGCCAATTATACAATTTCAGACACAGTTAAGCACGCCCCTGACACTCCCAAACAAACAGGATAATCCCTCTCCTGGACCTGAGGGGACTAGTTACAAGTTACAAACTCCTCCTCTGTGCCTGAGCTGAAATAACTCAATTATCTCCAGGCACAGAAAAACATACAATATTACAACCCCCCCAAAATACGTTTAAAACACTTTAAAACAGTTACATCCCCTGATAGCCCTGATCTGGGTGACCAACATATCCAAAAATCACCCAGATCGGTTCAAGGTTTTGGAATTTTCATGGAATTCATCATTTTGACCGACCATGCACATGGTCCTATGCCCAAAACAGTTCCATGAAATTGGTGCTAATGGTCGGTCAAGTTCAGTAGTCTTTTAGAGGTTTCCCTGCAGGGCCTGTAATCTGTAGGAGGCTGGCAAGCAGGCTCCTCCAGGAGCTCGTGGCAAACTCACGTGGGAGGGGAGTTTGTCACAAGTACTTAGATCTTTTATAGATTTTTTTTATATCTAAAAGTACTTAGATCATATATATGTATGTAAAAGTACTTTTATATGCACATTCACACATATACACTATAATTCATTAAATTAATTTAGAAAGTGTTTTACAACTTTATTAAACTTTCAAAAACATTTGTGCAGGCATTAGGGGACTTCCTGAGAGCTCAGGCAGTCCCCCAGCAGGCACTGCACGAATCAGCTATTTCAGCCACGTGCTCACCATGCGATCACATGGCCAGGGAGGGCCGGATCAGATGAAGGGGGACTGTCTAAACTCCCAGGCAGTCCCCAACAGGGAATGGGCGGGGACCCGGTGAGTATTAAGGATGGTGGGGATGTTCTATGACACCCTGCTGCGTTTAGGACCACCCCAATAAGGATGACATAGAACGCCCACCATCCTTAAGGGGTTAAATATATCACATGTGTTCATATATAATACTGACATTTGCAATTTTCTCACAATTAATTCTGCATTCCTCTCAATTTCACCTACTACCACATATTCCATAATCCTTTCACACGTTAGTTCCTCCAAGCAATTTTCCAGAACTGTACTGCCCTATATTTCCACATTGTCCATATTATAACATGGACCAATAAGTTGTCACAGTGCCCTTACCCTGCCAAAATAACCCAACATATTGCCATAAGACTTTTTATGGTTTTAATGCATGGTATGCCAGAGTTCTTGCTTGTGAAACAACTACCTTATGGTACAGTTTGCTAATTGAATTGGCTTCATATGGGTTGCATTAATGTTATAGACCTGTGGTTTCCAACCAGTCCTCAAGGCACACCTTCCAGTTCAGGACTGTCCAACCTGCAGCCCCCCAGATGTTGCTGAACTACAACTCCCATGATTCCCTGTCTGTCTTTTTAATTGAAAGAACCATGGGAGTTGTAGTTCAGCAACATCTGGGGGGCCTGGATTACCCAGTTGTGTCTAAGGTGTTTTTTGAAAAAAAAAAAAATCACATTGACACAAATAGGTAATCCCTAAATCCTGGACTGGTAGGTGTGCCTTGAGGACTGTTTTGGAAACCACTGTTATAGACACATGTTGTGGCATGAAGGCACATCATTAATAGTCAAATATTTTTTGTGGACTAGACATATCAAACCTTCATGAAATTATTTAAACATGTATCTTGTTTAATCCATATTTTAAAGTTTCTGTATAGTTTTTGTTTTTGTTTTTTTGTTCTTTCTCTTTTCATTATGATAGTCCCCTTGATCTGCCATTAGAGATGTTTGCATATGTGTGTGAGTATGTGTGTTCCCATCTCCAATTCTGTACCTGAATTATAACTAGGAATATTTTTTTTTTTTTAATCTACCATAGACCGTAGATCTATTGTTTTGATAGAAGTAAAAAAAGTGCTCTAGAAATTTTATGGACATTAATCAATGGCCTACTAGTTCTGTTAATATACCATTTGTGCCATCAACTCAATTTACAGCCTTAAATTATGCTGTACCTTATTCATTATACATCAAACTAATAATCAGTCCTTAGAAAAACAGTCAATACTTGAAGAAAACCACCAAGAAAAAAATACAACAGCGATGCCTCTGATATGCTTCTTGACATAATTATAATTATTATTATAGTGAATTTATTATGTTATTGTTCAACTGGGTGTTCTAATTGGATTTATCCTATATTGCAGAGGAGGTGTGAGAAAAATGGAAAGAGGATTCTTGCTAAATAATGTGTTCTCCTTGAGAAATAATATCATACCCTTGAATGTTTAATTGCCCAATCTATTTCATCTACGTCATTTTATTTAGCATGAACCTCTTTTTCTGTAAATGCAAATACTATCACTATTTAAATGACTCAATTTATAAAAAAACATGTACAATCTTAGCATCCCTGTTCCTTAATGATCCAAATGAATGTGGCATATTATATCAACTCATTAGCTGCTCAGAATGCCCCTCCTAGACATAATTGCCTAGTTAAGCATGCTGCCTCCATACAATAGGGAAAAAGATACAAGTACTTCAAAGTGAAGAGCAATTTGAAAGAATGCAGCATTGAATTAATCGTCTTAAAATAGACACCATCTTGGTCACATTATTTATGCTACAAACTTGCATTCTTTCTGTTTTTTTTCAGTTTCTCAAAGTTTTAAAAGAGTTTAATTCTGCCAAAAAAGTGTATGCTATTTTATGAATATATTGTTACACTATGAGATTACATACTCTTAATTAAAGCGTTTAATCAGGAGAAAAATACATGAGGTAAACTGCTGGCATCTTCTTGCCATTTCTTTTTACCGAGTAGCATAGACGTGTCTACGGCACCCCCTATTACAACCAATTTGTCATCAAAATTCCCTAATTAGTTCTCTATGGTCAATTTAGAATTAATTTGGATTTGTTTTTTATGTTTTTGACAAAAAGGTCGTGGTTATTTCTAAATACACCTTTTATCAATAATAAAAAAAATATATATATTGTGAAATCATTTTTTTCAGTTAAGTTTTTATGGCATTGTTTTGGGGTGGACACCTTAATGTAATGTGATACATATTGCTATGTTGAATAGGTATTAACATCAAAACATTCAAAGCATGTGCAATGAAATCTACTTTGTATACTTGTAGCTATACTCTACTGTAAGTAATCAAATAAGTCAGTTTTGAAAGTTTACTTTGCAACCAGAAATATCTAAAACATACTCTGCAATAATTATACTAGTCTTGAAATTTTGCTTTGGGCCGAACTGAAATTCATCTGAATTAGGGCTGATTTGATGATTGTTCAAGATTATTAAACTACCATATGCCAGAATCTTGGAATAAAGTACTCATGCAAGCATAAACATGCTTCCTTAGATTTGTAATTCAGAGTGCTGTTCCTGGCACCAGATGATGAGGGGTGGAATGGCGATGAGATTGTTTTTGTGTTTTTATGTTTGGGTGGGGGCAAATAAGCAACTTAGTTTACCATAATGGACAAGAGGTCTGACCAATAATGTGGGCTGCAACTTCTATCAAGAGGTACAAAAGAAAGATGATTCATGGTTAAAGCCTGAGTGGTAGCCTGCTTTATTCATCCTATTGTGAAGGTGGTGGTTATGATTGGTGCAGAGTCCTACAGTTAGCCACAGCCACTTAACACCAACTATGAATCACCAAAAGCATCATTCTGATACACACCTATTTTTGCTGCATAAAGTTGTGTTAGTTTACACAGTACAAAATCACTCGTATCCCAAACGTATTGTAATAAGAAAAATAAACCCATCATCATCAATGGTACATCTGGATCTCAAGAAGTATTTGAGGAGTGGTAGGGGAATGTCTGAGGGGTAGGGAAAGGGATGCTCCTCCAAAAAGGACATCCTGACCTTATTGCTGAGCTGTTTCCTGTTGGAGGAGCGTCCCTTTCCATCATAGGAGCCGTTTAAGCAGGAGCCTTTTAAGCAGCTGCTACAGGACATAGCTTTGCAATATGTACTCCCCTTGCCATTCACCTTCATCAGCTGACAAATATTAAAAACTAAAATAAGTTTATTTTATTCCATCTGGTTTCTTATCAACAAATGTATCCATTTTGAATTATTGTTTGTCATATTTAAAGAACAGTTAAAATAATTTATATATAACACTAATTGATATATAACGAACATTCAGTTTACATTTGTCCATACTCACCTTTTTTGAAGAAATTAGCATGATGTATGTTTATGTATACTTCTTATTTTATGTAGTTACTCTATATTCTTCCTCAAGTGGTTGCATTGCTGCCGTCTCCAAAAATTCCACATGCAGACATGTAGTTTGAGTCTAGCAGTGACCCTCTATGCTTATCATATTGTGTTGTCTGGTCAGGGATAGCTAAGGCAATCCAATTTGTACTCGGTACTGTAGTTTACAATTGTACTAAACTATGCTGTTTAAATCTGACATGTTCAAATGAAACATATTCACCATAGCAAGCAATCACTGAAATTTGCTTCTTTCCTGCTGCTAGTCTTCAATTGTACTACCACAATTATTGAACATTATAGCATTTTGAAATCTGTTCTTTAAGCCATATTTCCTTTTACTGCATATGTTTTATATCTTCATTTGCAAAATGTTGCATTTGTAACTAATACACATATATACGTAAAACGTCAGCTTCTCTCCTGGTATCATTCTTCAGATCATTGAATGGTTGCAAAAAACCAAAAAATCTTATACTTTTCTTTATTGCTAAATGTAATACAAATTTACTGAGAAAATCAAATCTTTGCCAGAAGAGTTCACCTGAATATAGTTTGTGGATCACAGATATGGGTATTACTGAAATATTTCATATTTCTATACATTATGTGTACTAGGTGCATTATCTTTTTGTCATTTTGCTCTTAGCATACACCGTCTAAGTGAATGGATTTCTGGGTAATTCAAAGTTAAGTTTTGAAATGTACTCTTTGACATTTCTACTATTTATTTCTGGGTAAACTTTAATAGCAGTCTAACGATTTATTGTTGTGTGATTTTTTTCTGTTTTAAGTACAATAATTATATTCTTGCAACATTATGTATGAATCACATTATTGTTGGGCTGGTGTTTCACAGACACAATATTTTGTATTGTTCTACTTTCAGTTGATTTTTTTCTTTAAATTCTACTCTAAAGCTTTAGAAGGATGAAACTAAACCAGTGGTTTCCAAACTTTTTAGGTTCAAGGTGCCCTTAATATTTCAATATTTTACCAAGGCTCCCCAAGTCAAAATTTCTAGGTTGTTTATCTGTACAGCACTGCAGCATTTACATGCACTATAGTGTAATGTACAGTGTTGGTGTTTGAAGAGGTGCTTATATGTAGTTTTTTGGTTTTTTTTTAATACAGGGGTATGTTTGTCTGTAATGTTTGCGTTTGATTGCAGGGGTGTGTTTGAATGTTATGTTCACTTTTAAATGTGGGTGTACATTTGTGTGAAGTATTTGTGTTTGAGTGAAGGGGTGTGTTTTTATATCATTTTGGAGTTTGAATGCAGGGGTGTGTTTGTATGTAATATTTGTGTTAGATTTCAGGAGTGTGTTTGTATGTTGTGCTGGTGTATGACTGCTTAGATATATGCACATGCATTAACACATACATCCATACTTACACAGATATACACACGCAAAAGTTCATATAGACACCGACACATACACACACATAGATACACACTGACACACACAGACACATATACACACCTTAACACACGCATACACAGACATATACACTCACATGCACCCTGACACACACAAACATTAATACATGCACACACCATTATACAGATACACACACTGACATAAAAACACACACATTGGCACACATATGCACAGACACAGACATAGATCCTGACACACAGATGTGTGAGCACACACAGACACACACTGACACAGAGCATAATAACATATATACACACACAGATGCACAAACCGACACACACACACACACACACACACTCTCATACACACACCCACACACTCACACACACTCATACATACACACACACACTCATACATACACACCCACAAGTGATATTTTTAATATCTCCAGCCACCCTCCTATTAGCTTACATTATGTGTCCATGGGGGTGGCTTGAAGTCCTGCATCTGCTGGTGGGAGTGAGGGGTCTGGAGCTCTTGGTGCGCCTCTCCCCTCACAAGCTATCTCCCTGCATGATGCTGGGAGGAAGTGACAGCTTGTCACTTCCTCCCAAAAAGTTAATCAACTGAAAGTAGAACAATACAAAATATTGTGTCTGTGAAACACCAGCCCAACAATAATGTGATTCATACATAATGTTGCAAGAATATAATTATTGTACTTAAAACAGAAAAAAATCACACAACAATAAATCGTTAGACTGCTATTAAAGTTTACCCAGAAATAAATAGTAGAAATGTCAAAGAGTACATTTCAAAACTTA